ATACATATTTATAAACATCTATACACTTTTTGCATTTTTATATCTATAAATTTTTTAATCTTGTAAGTTCTATATAATCGCAGTTTACTTACTACATTCTGATATCGCTTTCACTGGATTCTTAAGGGCTAATAGATCCTTAACTGATGAGCGTGAATTTAGAGGCCAAATATTTGAAGGAGCAGGAGTGCAAGCTGTAGAATCATTATCTGGTGCTGGTGTACTAAATGCTGAAATATTAAGTACTGATGTCAGAGATATTAATGTATGATAGAATAATGCTGATATGTAAGGTGTTTGAGTAATAGATTATGAACTAGAAGATTCTGTACTAAATCTTGTATTGAATTTAATAGAATTAAAAAAGAGATTGCTATTACTAAATTAAATAAGTTATTGAAATTATTATTACAAATAATAACTGTATTGGATAGAATTTAAGTTCAACAATATAAAAATTTTAAAGAACGCAAATAATAGAATCAGAAAATTAAAAAATTTTCTTTATAACAATATCGATATGATTATCAAATAAATATCCATTCAGGAATATGTACGAACACAGAAACATGACTGGACAACATTCAGGAACATGACTGGTAGATTCTGTTATATTCGCAAAAATTCACAAGTTGGACAATACATTTTAATTTGTTTTTTTTAATTTATTTTTTCGAATCTTTATCTTAATTAATCATTATCTTAACGAATCATTATCTTAATAGGTACAACTTTGCTTCCGCCGTTTTCCTATAGATGGCTTTAGCGGTAAGTGGTGGTCGAAATAAATAGATCATAGACGTCATACAATAAACTTGGGCATCTGTCAACATAACCCCATAGAAACATTAGTCGATTTGTGTCTGCATCATAAAGTTATTCTCGATTGAAAATGTCAGTTTACGAGCCAAATTCTCGTCATTTGCGGGAGGTTTTAATTTTTTGCTTCAATATGAAGAAATTTGCGGCTGAAGCTCATCGAATGCTCTCAAATACTTATAGTGAGGCCGCTATTAATGAAAGAACGTGTCGTGAGTGGTTTCAATGCTTCAAGAACGGTGATTTTGACGTCCAAGGTCATGCTCTGTATTTGGTGGGACCAGCTCGGCGTAGTGTATTATGAACTGTTAAAACCGACTGAAACAATCACAGGCGATCGATATCGAACGCAATTGATGCGTTTGAGCCGAGCATTGAAAGACAAACGGCCGCAATACAACGAGAGACACAAAGTGATTTTGCAGCATGACAATGCTCGACCCCATGTTGCGAAAGTGATCAAGACATACTTGGAAACATTGAAATGGGAAGTCCTACCCCACCCGCCGTATTCTCCAGACGTTGCTCCCTCTGACTATCACTTGTTTCGATCAATGGCACACGGCCTGGCTGACCAGCACTTCCGGTCTTATGAAAAAGTAAAAAATTGGATCGATTCGTGGATAGCCTCAAAAGATGACCAGTTTTTTCGACGCGGGATTCGTACGCTACCCGAAAGATGGGAGAAAGTAGTGGCCAGCGATGGATTGCAATACTTTGAATCATAAATGTATAACCAGTTTTTTACAATAAAGCCTCGAATTTTGGAAAAAAACGGCGGAAGCAAATTTGTACACCTAATAATTAAATAATATGAAAATGCTTAAAAATGTGACTATAAAATCTTGAATTTAAGATTTTTTTTAATATTAAATAAAATGTAGTTAATAAGTTACGTAAATACTATATAATCTCACCTTTTTTCTCTTCATATCAATTTGCATTATCATTTAGACTCTTGCGGTCAATATTTTTGGATTAATATAATAACGTTCACAACTGTGCAAACACAAACCATTATACCAATAATGCAATAACAACACTAATAACAAAAATAATTCACAGGATCGTTTCGGGCGATAAGTCAAACTTGAAATGATATATTATTAATAATAATTCTAAATTTTTTTTATCAGTGGATCGGGTGAAAGTCATGTTAGTGACTAGGAAGATTGCAATCAAGCCGAAATAAAAATCCATCGCGCAGAAGGATGCATGAGTAGATATCAAATATTCGATGTTAAATTTGACACCAGAAATGGCTATGCGCTTCTCTTCCACTTTTCCCTCCTAATTTTATAAAGAATGAAAAATAACGATAAGTAAAAAAATAACGATAAGTAAAAAAAGCAAAAAAAGATGAAGATTAGAACACAGAGTGTGTGTAGAAGATTAGGGTGGGGAGTGTCCTATATAGTACTCGAGTCATCATTCAATCGAGTAAATAGACATTATAATTTTTACAATAAATTTGATAAAACAAGTAATAATCGTTAACATTAAAAATTAAATTATAACATTATCTCAACAGAGTTTTCTAAGGCTATTAAAATATAAGATAAATGTTTAGAGTACACGGAAAAAAACACAGCTAAAAACTTCACTAATTCAGCAAATCTAGCGATTTGTTAAACCATCAAATCTTTTTAGCTATCGATGTTGAATTCGCGCAGCAAATTATAGATTTGCTGTATCACCCAATTAATTTTTTTTCCATGTACGTTTAACGTGTAGTAACTTTACAAGTATAAAATATAATTAAGTACATATAATATATTTTGAATATGGATATTTCAATATTTATCTATAAAATTGGCACGATTACATGAATTAATAATCATTAAATCAATGAATATTATTAGAAATTTAATTTTAATATTATTATAATATTTTGAAAAATTATTAATCGCGATATAATCATAAATTTTAAACATTCAAAAAAACTGAAACTTGTTTTTTTTATAATTCTAGATCTTATCCTTGCCCTTGTCATTTTTGTAAAATAAAAAAGAAAATAAAGGAAGGATAAATATAAAAATTGAGAAACTCCAATTCTCTGACAATTAATCGAAACAAACTAATTAATAGTATAAATATATAGTATAATAGTAATAATAGTATAAAAATTAACAAGATAAAAAGATGTGAAGGGAAAAAAACAAATATCAAATGTATTATTCATAATATGCAGGGATATAAGTAATATACTTGTAATACTTACAAAAAAATGAATGAATAAATGAATGTATCTACATATATATGAATAGCGTGTTGCGCGAAGAAATAAAAATCGAAAAGAAACAGAAGTTATTTAATAAATTAATCAAAGTTTAATCAACAATAATTAAATAATAATTATTATTATGTAGATTATATAAACATATACATAAAATAAAAAAATTTAGTATTTAATAATTTTGTGATAAACAAAAAATGTAATGCATAACACTTAAAAATTTTTATTTTATATTAATATATTTACATATTCACATATGTCAATATATTTTACGTATTTACTTAATGCTCATATGATGTTGTAAAAATACTTCGGCTTGATGGATTCCTGTCTCGTAAGCTCCATGTGTCGTCGAATAAAATTCGTCGTGCGTAGCTTCGCCGGCAAACAATATGACTGGTAGATTCTGTTATATTCGCAAAAATTCACAAGTTGGATAATACATTTTAATTTTTTTTTTAATTTATTTTTTTCGAATCTTTATATTGTCTTAATTAAATAATATGAAAATGCTTAAAAATGTGATTATAAAATCTTCAATTTAAGATTTTTTTTTTAAATATTAAATAAAATGTATAATAGTTAATAAGTTAAATATGATATAATTTCACCTTTTTCCTCTTCATATCAATATGCATTGTCGTCCAGACTGGTTCGGTCAATATCTTTGGGGAAACATCATCCTCCTCACAACTTTTCGTAATGTGACTGTAACCGCCTCTCACGTATCTATTCTCGTTCCACTTAGTTCGAACGCATCTTCTGATTGGCGGGATATCGCGATACCGTACGTATCGCGTCAACAGACTCATACAATCTTCCGCAATTATTTCCTCTGACAATTCTTCAATGATACACGCCCCTTGCCCGCCGACCCACACTATAAGAGTGGCTGCATGAATCGGCAGAACATCGAATCCTGTGACATACTTGGTCCATTCCGGCAAAGATGAGTGATCGGCATCCCTGCGCCAAAGCAATTGAAAACCGTTCACACCTCTTTGCCACCAGGGTTCACCAAAGTCCAGAAAAATCTTATTAATCGTTCCGAAACCAAGATCCTCAATAGCAATGCTTAGACGATTTGGTAATAGCGGTTGGAACATGTTCTGATGGTTACTCTTCAAATAGCCAAGCGAACAAGTAACTATGACCGCATCAGCGAGAATTTCAGTGCCATCGAAAGTTTTCACGATAACTGGAGAATCATTTGGAGAGTCAATGAAGTTCCGCCAGTGAATAATCTCCACAGGAGTGGATAAACGTATTTTTCGTTTATCCAGATTGTCAACGATAAGATTTGTTAAAGAACTGTAGCCGGATTTGAAGAGCAAATGTTCCGGTCCGCCAACGTACTGTAGAAATTATTGTTTTTACAGTGCTTATTTTTGAAACTATGATTAAAATTGGATTTACCTTGAACTTTCCCCAAAGAACTGCTGACAAATCGTCTAACGAGTGGCAGCAATTATCCACCAGGAGAAACCGCACGTTCCAATCAAAGATTTCCTCCTTCATCTTCCTTTCCACTAGAGGATCATTTCGCTCATGTAAATAATCCTTAAACCTATTTCTCATGACAGAACCGATATTCTCCTTCTTTTTCAAAGGCTTTTGAGATTCGCAGATATCATCCAAGACAGTTCGTACGAAATCATCGACTTCACGAACCAAGCTGTCGCTCATTATCATTCCGTCATCGCGTAAGAAAATTCCGTCACCGTCCGTTCCTTGAATTGTCGATAATAAATCATTGTTAAGACAGTATTGAGCAAGCCTGCTTTTATCACCATGCAGGAATTGTGCCCCGCAATCTATCCAGCCATTATCCCATGGAATAGAATGAATTCTTCCTCCAACTGTGTCTTGAGCTGTGGAATAGCATAAGATAATCCAAAGAATTATATTTTTATTTTTTTATTCTAATAATAGTTATATTCATAACTATTTTTTTATTTCTTATTATAAATTTTTCTATTATTATTTATTTATATTATTAGACTGTATGTTAAATATCAGTCAAACTGATCAAATTAAATAAAAAATTAATTAAATTCTTAAGAGATATCACATATATGCACACATATACCTTCGAGAAGAAGATAATCCATAAATCCTGCATCTTCCAGAGTTTTTGCCGCCGCCAATCCTGCAATTCCCGCCCCTACTATTACAACTCTCGTCTTTTCTATTTTTCTTGCACTCGTATCAATCTTTATCCGCAATGCTTCGTCGAAGTCGTCAATCAGTTGATCTAAGTGATTGTACGTTCTACGTCATCCGAAGAAATTAGTCTAATATACATATTATCTCACATAAACATACACATAAACACACATATATATGTTTGCTATCTTTTTATAAATTTATTCTAAGTCATAAATATATTCTATTCTAAATATATAAAAACTATATATATAAATAAACTATATATAAATAAACTTCAGGATTTATTTGGAAAGACTTTCGATGCAATAATGGTCTACAACAGAAAACACGAATAACAACTATAAATAATGAACACAATAAATAAGTAATAACAAATATAAATATTATTCCTCTCACTGTAAACGTCATAGCATATATTTCATGTTTATATGTTTCTTTAAACTTTACATTAATTTATAGTGTTAAAATTTATATTATTGTAATATAATGTATTTCTGTACAAATGTTTACATCTTATAAACAAATAGTCATTATGCCTTAAATATATTTGTCTATAGCAAATATTGAAAATTACAAAATATATATATATTTCTGGTTTTCCAATCCATTCATTATGAAGGTGTAGTTGTAGAAGATGTAGTTAGAGATGAGAGTTTAATTGCCTAAGAAAAAGCATGCAATCAAATATAAATATAATTGCAAAACTATTTGTGCAAGTTGAAGCCAATATGTTTAAAACACTAAATAAGCATAAGAACTTTTACTCTATTTATTTCTATTAAGTATATGTAAAATAAAAAATAAATGCAAAAAGTTTTCATATAGAACATATTTTTAAAAATTCTTATTTTTAAAAAGTATAAACAATTAACAAAGAATAAAATAAATTGCATACTTCCTAAAATTACTTTAAAATTACTTTACTGAAAAGATGTATAATAATAAAAATATATTATTTTAAAAATAAACGAAAATAAAAAATTGTATTATTTGGATGCAAATGTGTTTGTATACAATCGAAAAACTTAATTTTTAAGACCATAAACACGCGAAGCTCGTTTATACATAGGAAGAACTACTTATACGTACTTATTGCATGAAACTGAACTATAATTAATGTTTATTTTTTACAAATAAAGATTTTTATAAAAATTTCTTCTATATAACTTTTTATAATACTTTTTGCATTCATTGTATACGTCTCTCAATTGTTGATATAACATACAACTGATATAAGTTGCACATAGTAATATAATGCAACACAAAACGTAATCGTGCAACTGCAAAAATAAGCGGCAAGACATATATTATATATAATTGCATAAAGAAACACATCTTTAAAACTAAAGTTTACTTAACAAATTACTCCCTTTTTTCATTCAATTTTATTAAACTGGAAAAAATTCATAATTTCAAAATTCATAATTTCAAAAATATAACAATTTCAATAAAAAACTGGTAAAAAATATTTGACAATCATGTTTAAAAAGATTTTTTTGCAATTTTTAAAAATATTTTTGATTAAGTAAAATAATAAAAAAGCATTTTAAGCATTATTGTGATATTATAATATCGCACTTATTACGCTTTTGATATCAAGTTTTTAAAGGAATTTTAACTGATATTATCTTACCTTTTAAAATCAATTAGTCTATCCGCTTCACGGAAACCACTTTCCACGGCACCGTGCACAGTAGAATAATAATGATCATGCGTAGCTTCTCCAGCGAAAAGGATTACCTAATCACGCGATGCATTTTACTAATATTAATAATCTTTCATATACAATACGATTCAATTTGTATGAGATAAAAATACATAATAAATTAAAGCTAAAAATCAAAGAACACATCTTGGATATTATTATCAAAATAAACAACTATTTGGAAAATAAAGAGACTAACTATAATATTTCATAGTCATACAATAACTTGCATAACATTTAAAAATATGTTATATTTTTATTTTAGGATTACATACAGGTTTAATTCCAGTCATAATTGGCTCTGCTAAATCTCTCGGTGTTACATTCAGATGCTCGGAAAGCATGCTTAGAAAACTATATGAGCCCCGAAAATGTTCATTAGTATACCATTTAGATCTAAAAATAAAAAAAATAATTTAAACGGATCTTATTATTTTTCTATTAATTAAGTTCCAATGGGACATTACCTTAATATTCTCGTTGGCTTCACAATATTATAACGTTTCTCAAATGATTTTTTTAACAATAAATATAATCCATTGAATACGTCAGTATCCAATAAGGTTTCCATGTGTCTCGCATTTTTTCCAACTATCCAAGCACATAAAAGATTCGGCTGATGAGCCACGATAAAAAAGGAAAACACATCACACAACCACTCGCAATTCTAAAATAAATATTTAACAAAATTAATAAAAGATCAATAAAAACGAAAAAATTATCGAAATTATAATAACTTTAACAATATAAAGTATTATTGTTCGCTTTAATCTCTAAGTTTAAAATTATACATTCGAATATCTGCTTACTTGACCATGAGTTTGCAAGAATTCTTTTTTATCTTTTTCCGGCCAGATAAAATTAAAACTGACTTTATCCTCCGGCCACCATCTGTGCGGAAATTCGAGAAAAATCTTGTTCGCTGTGCCAATATTTAATCCCTGTGGAATGGTGGAATATTAATTAATTTTTATTAATCATATATAATATCATTTTATTTACAGCAGCATAATATTAATGCCAATATTCGATTTATATTGTTAATAAAACCTCTATCGCGCGTTGTTTCTTCTGCGACAAAGGTGGCACGAACATCGAGGAATGTTTTTCCTTTAAAACACCTAGAGACCCAGTGAATATAACATGCGATGCGGAATACTCGCATCCGTCTTTGGTAATAATCATTGCATTCTCGCCTGAGCTATAATTGATAGTTGCCACAACTTTTCCGAACTCTATCTTTTCCATTACTGGCAAACATTCCTCTGAATTTGGAATATTTTGCTGATAAAATTATTCATACATTTGATTAGAAAAAATAATAGATAAGGTATTAATTATATTATTTTATTAAAATATATTACATATATAAATATTTGATCAAACAAAAATTATATATATATATATATATATAATGTATTGTTTTACTAAAATGTATTATATATAAATGTATTATATATAAAAACATTTATTTATTTATTAAAAATTTATTGTACACTCCAACATTAATTTAATTTTGAAATAGCAATTACGGACTATTTCTTTTTGATGCAATATATGTATTTTAAATTTTATTTCCAATTTCAGCGTTATATAAAATGGAAAATTATTGAAAACATTTCCATATATTTCAATTTCCAGTCCAGTAGTATTAATTTCTTACCAATAACAGGTCAAAAATTGTTTTATAACCGTAGTTTTTCCAATCCAACACAAGATCACCCTCGCATTCTCGATATTCTGTCAAACGTTTCGCGGAAATATCGAACCATGTGTCGCTACATTGTATAGAATTTTCCATTTTTTCTATCCAAGATAAATATTCAGCAACTCGAGCACGATTTGTGAAAGGATTTGTATCAAAAGCTTTATAATATCTACAACGTTAATGTGATAATTAAATTTATTAATCATAATGTATTATCATAATATCAATCCAACATTCCATTTATATATCTATCTATATACAGCATTTTATTTTAAATATTAAATAAATGCAAAATAATTGAATAAATTATAATTTTTTTATCTTGTTTTTTTATCTATCTTTCTTTTTCAGTTGTTGCAATATTTTCGTAAACATACGCTATTAAGTGTATATTAATTATTAACTTTATTAAAAAAGGAGCACAGCCAAAATGCTAGTTATTCGTTGTGATGTCATATATTTAAAATTATCATTACAAATTAAAATTCATAAACGTTTCGGCCGATATTTGGTCTTCCTCAGTACGTTCTACTGTACAATAATATTGTACAAAATTATTTCAAATCGATTAAAAATGATAAGAAATTAAATCTAAGTTTAAGTCATTATAGTGTGCGATAATCAGTTAATATATAATATTGAGTATGAAACAGAATAAATGTTCTTGTGTTCAAAAATGGTTGATTTTTGTTGATTTTACAATGTTGATCTGTTAATTGTAAATCCTCTAGTACAAAATTTCCAAGTTCTAATTTGAATTTACATAATTAAATTGTTATAAAGAATTGTTTTAACGTGTGATTATAATGATAGTATTAACAATTACTTAACATATCTGTACTAGTATGAAATAGGAATTACAATTATCCATTGACAATTTTCCACTCTTTATAATTTAATTTATAATTTAAGAATGGAAAAAGGATTTTCTTGTATGTTACTTGTTAACAGAATTTTTGTGATTATCTGTGTTTTGCCTTTCTGCATTTATATTTGCTAGAAAAATTGAGAAGGTGAATTTAGAGGAGTAAAAAAGAGGCTGTGAATAGAGAATTATTCATTTAATAGGGGCAAATTTAATTCCGATAATCGATCGATTATCGAATAATCTCCTGCTCATAGTCTTCTTTCCCTTTTCTAAATTTCCTTTCTCAATTTTTCTAGTAAATATAAATAGTGGATATTAAAATATAAAAATATAAATATA